TTTTAATCACGATTTTTAAAATTTTTAATAACTACATGATTAGAAGAAGCATTTCACTACAGATTTAACATATTCAGTAACATACTCCAGAGCAAGAGTACATCTTTTCCACAAGTGGGTGCAAGTTTCTAGGTTCACAGTTGAATTAATACAGTTATACAATACTGAACTCAGTATAAGCCCTGTAAAACATAAAATTGAATGAGTTTTTAACCTTTAAAAAAGATCTCCATTTCATTTTAGAATATATTGTTCCTTGCAAAAAGACTCATTGTTTTTGCTACAAACACTAAAATGTTGGTGCACGCATCTCTAATCTGTATGCATCTGATTATTACTAGCCATAATCAGTTGCACTTGGACCCTTGGAAACTGTGTATGTCTATGCAGTCATTGGGTGGATTTCAATGGTAATGTTTATCACCTCTACTAATTAGCATGACGTAAATTTCCATGCTTCCTCCTCAAATATAGTACATTTTAAAAAATTTGATTTTTTTTTTTGTGTGTGTATCACACAGAATATTCCAAACCATCTTAATCGACTATATACCTGCTTCCCAGTTGGAACCCTCCAATAGCCTCCCTCCCTCCACTAGAGCCCTTATATTCTGATATCCCTGCTACTGTATACTTTGAGGCCTATACTAATTTGGTCAGAGAGACATAAAGGACAGTTTTTGCTCCTTGCCCTCCTAGGTTGACTAGTTCCAAGGGACTATGAGCATCTCTCAAAAAGTCCTGTAATGGTGGTGAGTCACCTGTCCTCTTGATCAAGGAGGACGAGGAGACCCCACTAGATGGACTTGAACCAGTCTCCAGTCTACGAAGAGGAGGGTCAACACAGAGGAATCACTTCCTCCATGCTTCCAAGTGAAGCCAACCATGGTCGAGCAGGACCTTTGACTTATCTTCACACAGGCGGAACTGGTAAAAGAAAGGAGCCAGGGGCTCCTCCAGTTGTTGGCCAGGGTGAAAAAAGGGACTCCCAAATAGTAACCCTATAGAACTGGGACAATGAAAAGCAGATCCTAATCTTATCTAAAGGAGTACTGAAAACTGACTGCTGCTAGAAGAGGAACAGCTGACCGTCCTAAAACAAAGACCTCTAGATAGGCTGACTAGATTCAACAGAAGGGCAAGTAGTGGGGAATGGCTGGGGGTGCCAACAACACAG